AGTTACCCTTCCAGCTCCTCAGCTGGGACAAGGGCACACAGATGCTCCGCTCCCTTTGAGAGGGAAGCCTCTGGGCAGAGAGGTTGTAAAGAAACCCAGAGCCTCATCCCGATGACCCTCCCCCACCACTGTTGTCCCCACTGTGTCCGACTTGGAGTGCACCTGCTGCAGGGGTGCAGTCAGTCAAGGGCGGGTAGAGAGGAGGCGGGGTGGAGAGACAGATCAGAGCCACCCCTTCCAGGGCTAGGCTGAGGCTGAGCGGCACTGGAGGACTTGGGGAACTGTCCATCTGGGACGCCATGGCGGTCACTCCAGCTATTGTAAATGAGACAGATTTCCAGGCTCTGAGAAGACGGTGGGACAGTACCGCGGCAAACAGCACGGTAGCCAAAGCCAGAAAACACGCATCTCAGTACCAGGACAGCATCTCTGGGAAGAGGGAATGGTTGTCACCAGCCATCTCACTCGGGTAAAGAACAGGCAGTGAGTCCTGGGATCACCCGAGGAGGAAGATTAAAATTCAAAAAGCTTAAGGTAGGAGGCTTAAAATCAAAATAATGCAGCCACTAAGAGAGGTCAATGTTGGGACAAAGGAAGGTTTTTTTTTTTTTTTCTTTTTAGTAAAAAAGAATCACTGTTCCTTGGGGAAATGTTTTATGTCTGGTCTGAAGTAGGCAATAAATAGGATAAGCTTAAAATGTCTCAATCCAAAAAAGTAAGAAAGGCATTCAAGTCTACAGGAGCTATGTCAAAAGTATGCAGGAGAAAAGGAGAAACCTGTATCAAAAAAAAAAGTATTCATGGGGCCAGGGTTGCCATGCAGGTGAAGCTGCCCCTCCAGACACCAGCATCTGGTATCAGGCTGCTGATTCAAGTCCCAGCTGCTCGACTTCCGATCCAGCTCTCTGCTAATGCAACTGGGAAGGTAGTCGAAGATGGCAACCCTGCCACCCACATGGGAGACCCAGGTGGAGTTCCTGGATCCTGGTTCCAGCCTGGTCCAGCCCTGGCTGTTGTGGCCATTTGGAGAGTGAACCAGCAGTTGGAAGATCTCTTTCTATCTCTCTCTCTCTGTTGCTCTGCCCTTCAAATAAATATTTATTTTTAAAGAAAAAGAATATGGACTGCAAAGAACTGGAACAAACACACTAAGCCTAGACATTCTGAGAGTTTGAAAAAAAAACTTCATTGGTTATCACTGCAAGTTGTCAGTGCTCCAATCGCCGCTCTGAAAACTGACAAAAGAAAATGAAGCCTCTCCCTGCCTTTTCCAGCTCAAACTGCACTTTAGGAGACTCAAGTAACTTCCAAGGGGAAGTTCTTTAAAGACACAACTGGAATTACCAAATGCAAGAGCAGTGATGGATTCGGACTGTCCCCATGCTGCGTCCCCTAAAGAAACAGGTTCAGCTACCACGATCTATGCCAAAATCAGCAGGTGCAAGGCACAAAGGCAAGGTGCTCCACAGGAGCTCACGATCAGTCTTAAGAGAGACATCCAAACATTATGTGTCGTGGTGCAATGGGTTTGTCACAGCACCTCCCACAAAGGATGCCTGAACCCAGCCAAGCCTCTCGATCTAACTGCTGGGTTACAGAACACAGGGTGAGTACAGACAGGAGTTAGCACAGGTGAGGAATCGGCCCAGAAAGCAGGACAGCTGAATGCACAACCCACTCTCCCCTGCAAACTGGTGGCATCAGAACAGAGGGGAAGAGCGACAGCTTTAAAATAAAACAGATTTAAAAGTCTAACAACACACACGACATACAGGCCTGAGCTAGTTCCAAATCCCCATAATCGTATTGAGCTGGGAACTGTACTAAGGAATTGTTATTATTCTTAGGTGTGAAAAGGCACCAAAGTTTGGTTTCCTTCAGAGTCCTTATCAGATATGCAAACTGAAACCTTTATAAGTGATTGGACACAGAGTGGGATTTTGCTTTAAACCATACCAGTCCTCACCAACAAAGTAGCAAATGGAGAAGTAAATGAAATAAGACTGCAAGATGTTAGTAACCACTGAAGCTTGGCGGCGGCGGCGGAGGGGGGGGGGGGGGGGGGGGGCGCGGGGGGGTGTCTCTTATGCCGTTCTCATAATCTCCATTATACACATTATTAAAAGAAAAAAAACCCAAGGGTTCGCGTGGAAATCCAAGCTGTGCCTGACCTTGCCACTGGTTTTTGAGAGGCAGCCAGGGTTCTCCCACGAGGCAAAAGGCAGTCTTCCCCCCACCACTGAAAGCGATGTAGGTTCAACCAGCATGCACACTGAATTTAACACGGTTAGAAGTGACTGAACCAAGGAACTGTGCTGCATCAACCAAATGACAGCTTAATTTGTCCTAGGAAGAGATGGGCTGGAATGCATTTGGGTTGAGCAATGCAGGCCGCAAGTTTGGGTGATGTCAGAGTGTTGAGACCTGGGAGATCCCAAGGCAGTGTGGACAGGAGCTGTGTGTATTCCTGAATCAGATCTTCATCAATAGAGGGGTTGAAGAACACCACCACCCTGTGTAATGCACACGGCCGCTTCTCTACCAGCGGTCATGTGTTTCTATCAGCACTCACTCAGCTCCAAGGTGGGGGCACAGTCCGGGAGACACAACATCACTGCACTAAGCAAGGGCGCTAACCAGACAATCCCAGGCACTCCTAAGTCCTCAGCCAGTCCGGCACATGCCAGGGGACTTCAAAAAGTACGTGGCAAGTAGAACTAAAAAGGACGTTTATTTTGGTGCAAAACATTTTTGAAATCCAGGCAGTTTTTGTGTTTCATAATATACATTCCCACAGACTTTCTGAAGACCCCTCATGTCTTAACTTGTTTTTTTTCCCTTTCAGGTCCCCTCTGTTATAGAATGCTTGGATCCAAAACTCCCATGATGTAGCCCTAACTCCCAATGTGATGGCGTACAGAGCCTGGGTCTTTGGCAAGTACTGAGGGCCAGCTTCAGACATGATGGCCCTGCTGGTGGCACTCACGGACTCATCAGAAGGGGAAGAGCCTGTGTGCTCCCTCCAGGTGGAGGGGGGAAAGGCTGTGGGAGCCCACGCACCCAGGTGAAAGAGAGTCCGGCCAGGAGAGAGTCCTCCCCAGACACCACATTGCCACGCCCACTAACCCGGGGCTGCTGAGCCTTCTGAGCCGTGAGAACACCCAGCTCCCTTGCTGAAGCCATGGTTTTTGTCACGGCAGCCCGAGCCACCCAAGACAAGGCAGTACCAACGTGGATTTCACCTTTCTCTCTTTCAAGCCCCTTCCTACCTCTTTTAATGGGCAACAAGAATTCAAAATCACAAAATCAGAAGATTTTGAGAGTTTGAGAAGAAAAATCACTGAAAATTATGGTTTTCTAACACTGGCTCTTCCGACACTCCATCTTCCCCCAATTTAAAACAAACAGGCCAGTTCTCAGGCAGTGCGTGTGGCAGGTCCCAGAGAGAACCATCCAGTATTCAGAATCAACGCATGCCTACTAGGACACACATGACCGGAAGTAACTCCACTCAGAATGAGGAGGAGAAAGAGTAAATACATCATCACGCCAGGCGGCGAGGAACCCACATCTCTATGCAGAGGGATGCTTCAGAGGTATCTGTATAGAAACCTCAGCAGTGCTGGGCACCAACCGACCAGCTGCCGCGGCTATCCGGTATTCCATGCCGTGACAAAGTACCCGTCAAGGATAATGGGACTGCGGTTTGACCTACTTTCCCCGAAATTCCCACAAAGTCTTTAACTCCGTGTCTTAGGTTTACTTAGCCACGGCATCTTGGGGACACACTTCCTGGCTTTCTCTGCATGTCACACAGTCAGTTCCTAAACTCACGTCCAGTGACACCGAGCTAAACCTCAGAACGTGCTCCTGAGCTGGACCCTGCACAGCCATCCCCTACAGGGGAGGGGACATGGCTGGGACAACGGGAACACAGCCTGGACAAGGAGGAGACCTGCGTCCGTGCAGGCCGTGGGTCTGCATGGCTTCAGACCCTTCCCCAAACAGAGGAAGCCCCCTCAAAACACCTCAGAGGCCGGACCCTCAGGTTCCTACAAAACCATCCTGCCGAGAACCAGAAACCCACCAATTGAGGGATCTGCTAAGGCGGACAACCAAAACTTGGTTTTTAAAAATGACACCCCCAATCATCTACAGGGTGGCACCTTCTCCGTAAGACTCCTCACTGGGGATGGGTATTTAAGAACTGCGTAGCCCGCACCAAAGGCGCCCCTGAGCCCTGCTGAGCAGCGAGGCGTAGGAGGCCCTGGCTGGGTCTCCTGAGCGACTTCAGGACGGTCCCAGGAGACACTCAGCAGGGCTCTGCTACTTCTCAGAACAAAACACGTCTGACCAGCTCGGGCCAGATGCACCTGGAACACAATGAGGGACGCTCAGGGGCTCACATCTGAACACACAGTCAGGAAGTCACCGTTTCATGTTGCAGGGGTGGGGGATGAGATGTGCACCCTCCCGCCCCAGGGGGCGTCCCAGAGCGCTCAGCCCCTGAGGCCTGGAACCTGAAGCTCACCCCGGGACACCCAGCCCTGGGTTCCGCCCTCGGCGGCAGCGGTCACCCGGACTGTCCCCTACCCCCGGAGCTCTCCACGGGACGTCCGGAACAAGCACACACGTCGCCCGCCTCCAGCAACCAGGGACCCCATCGGCGGGGCGAGGCTGCTGGGCGCTGGGCACCGGCCACCTGCAGCTGCCCCGCCGAGAGGAGGCAAACGGCCCTTTTCCGGGGAACGCCGGGGTCCAGAAGCCTCAGCCCAGGTGCCTACAGGGAAAGTCAGGTGCATCCGGGGGATGGGGGGACGCGCCGCTCACCCAGAGGCCCCCAAACCCCGCCGTCCCGAGCTGGTCCCCAGCCCAGCCCGCCAGCGGGGCGCCCCTTCCGCCACCGCCCCAACTTCCAGACGCGCACCCAGCGGCCCAGGCGGGGCGCGGGCTCCACGTGCGCGCCGCGCGAGCCCACTCGGGCCGGGCCGGGCACTCACCCGGCCCCCGGCGACGCTCCGCTTCCTCCGCAGCGTGAGCCCGCTCCGCAGCAGGGCGGGCAGGTCCCGCAGCCGCGGCCGCAAGGACGCCGGCGGCTGCTCGCGCTCGGGCTCGCGGGCGCTGGGGCTGCGGCGCAGGGCGCCCTCCGCCGCCGCGGCCGCGGCCGCCGCTGCCGCCGCCGCGGCCAGGGCCGGGCTCTCGCACGGCGGCTGCATCTTCACGGAGCCCACGGCCATCCTCATGCCCTGACGGCGGCTGCGGCGCCGGCAAGGCTCCTCTCCCCCGCGCTCGCCTCCGCGCACCGTCGCCTTCGCCAGCCAGCGAGAGGGCGCGACTGCGGCTCGGGCGCGGGGCGCGCTGCCCGCCGCTGCCCATTGGCGCGCGCCGCGGCCCCCGGAGCGGCTCAGCCCCGCGCGCCTCCCCCTCCCCGCCCAGGTGCGCCGGGCCCCGCCCCCGCCCCGCCCCTCCCGTCGCTCACCTCCGCCTCCAGACCTGGTCCCCTTGGCTACGCCCATTCCGGAACCCGCGCGGGAGGGCGCGCTGGGCGCTGACTCATCCACAGGTGTCGCCGGGCCCCTCTGTGCCCTAGGCTGCAGCCCCCCGCCTCTCTTCGGGCTTCCGCCCCCTTTTCCTAAGAGGACTTTCTCCAGCCGAGCCGGGACATCCTCCTCCTGGCGCCTGGTGCGCAGCCTCGCCCCTCCTCATCGTCACTCCGGACCCTTCCAAACTGACATTGCCTTGGGCCACAAGGGGAACACCCGTGCGGCAGGACTGACCCACGCTCAGCCCGGCTGGTGGGTGCTGAGCAAAGTAGCTCAAGTCTGGTGACCCGGTAACCTGCGAGGGCCCCTGGCTTCCCTGGACGCCTCAGTCCCTACCTTATGGCGAATCCTTGTTTCTCCTCTCCTGGACACAGGGATCCTGCAGCAAGCGTGGGGAGCCTGCTCCAGCAGGGCCTTATACCCCAGGGCGTGTGAATTTCCCGTCCCAGCTCAAACTAGGGCCAGGGAGGGCTTTTACTCCCAGTACAATGCTTAAGGCCCTGCCTTTGCCTAAGAATTTGCAGGAATTGAATACAATTATTCATGTTTAAAAAAAAAATACCCCGGGTTCTAGTCCCGGTCGGGGCGCCGGATTCTGTCCCGGTTGCTCCTCTTCCAGGCCAGCTCTCTGCTATGGCCCAGGAAGGCAGTGGTGGTGGCCCAACTGCCTGGGCCCTGCACTCGCATGGGAGACCAGGAGAAGCACCTGGCTCCTGGCTCGGATCAGCGTGGTGGGCCGGCCGCGGCGGCCATTGGAGGGTGAACCAACCGCAAAGGAAGACCTTTCTGTCTCTCTCTCTCTCACTGTCCACTCTGCCTGTCAAAAAATAAAAATAAAAAGACAAGCAAGAATTGATAAGGAGGTCTCCTTGTGCACCCCCAGCCCTGCAGGCAGTAGGTGCTTGGGGAATAGATTTGGAAATGTGGCCACGCAAGGGGAAAGGGAAGAATGAGTTGTGAGCTCTTGCCCTTATGGAACCGAGGATCTGGCCTGGAGCTGATAAATCCACAGAAAAACAAAGATGGAGCCCTGTACTCTTGCTAATGGCCAAGCCAGTGTGGATCCTGAGCGCTCCGAGCCGCAGGAGCTAGAACTGGTGTGGGAAGGGCAGGGACTCACCCATGAAGGGAAGGAAGGTGAAGCTGGGGGGAGAGAAGCCAGGCAGAAAGGAGGGTGAGGGACCTGCCGGGAAAGACAGGCGATGGAGCAAGCCCTGAGTCAGCGTCACAGGGAGCCGACTGCGCACCAGGGATCCTGGGAGAGGGGTGCCCAGGGCCTGGAACCTGTCGCCTGAAGCTGTGTGCCTTCCTGGGAAGGACTCTGCAGGGAGCCCTGGAGTCCATGGCAGCTTCCACATGCCTGTCTATATTTATCCAAGGCGGGAATTCCACGTCTGTGTCCTGTGCCAGGCTGTATGAGTTTGGTGTTTCAGTGCTGCAGTTCCAGGGGCAGGTGTCCAGCCCAGACATTTAGATGCCCACGTCCTGCAGCAGAGAACTTGGGTTCCGTGCGAAGCCCCAGCGTCTGGCTGAAGCTTCCTGTTATTTTTCTTAAAGGTTTATTTTATTTATTTGAAAGACAGAGTTACATAGAGAAGTAGAGACAGAGAGAGAGAGGTCTTCCATCTGCTGGTTCACTCCCCAGATGGCCACAATGGCAAAAGCTGCACCGATCTGAAGCCAGGAACATCTTCTGGGTCTCCCACATGGGTGCAGGGCCCCAAGGACTTGGGCCATGTTCTACTGCTTTTCCAGGCCATAGCAGAGAGCTGGATCGGAAATGGAGCCCCGGGACTTGAACTGGTGCCCATATGGTATGCTGGTGCTTCAGGCCAGGGTTTTAACCCACTGTGCCACAGCGCTGACCCCTGAAGCTTCCTGTTAATGCAGACCCTGGGAGGCAGCAATGATGACTCAAGTGGCTGGCTTCCTGGCACCCATGTGGGTGACCTGGCTTGAGTTTCTGACTCCTGGCTTTGGTCCTGCCTATCCCTGGCTGGGCTCTCGCACTCTCTCTCTCTCTTGCTCGCTCTCACTCTCTTTTCCCCTTTTTGAATCTCAAATAAATTGAAATAAACAAAAACAATCCTTCAATGCCAGTTGGTACTTGTCATTGCCTTAAGCCTTAAGTGTCACTCCTCCCCTTCTTCTTTTTTTTAAGCTGTATTTATTTGAGACAGAGAAAAGAGGGAGTTGGGGGGGGGGAGATCTTCAGCTACTGGTTCACTCCCCAAATGCCAGACACATCTGGGGCTGGCCAGGCCAAAGCAAAGAACTGGGAATTCTCATTGGTCTCCATCCTAAGCAGCTGGGCCATCGCCCACTCCTTCCACGGTCCCATTAACAGGAAGCGGAGCAGCTGGGGTGCAAGCCAGCTCTCCAACATGGGGTGTAGGCCTCCCGAGTGGCAATTGAACCTGCTGCATCACGCCGCCCACCCCATACCTCAAACCGCCCCGTGATACACCAACAAGAGAGCCAACACCTAGCCCACTAGAGGCCTGCAGGACATTTTTGGAGAGCAATGATGAGAGGGTGCTGGTGCCCCATCATCCTCGAAAGCACTAATTGAACAATACCTGAAACCTACTGTGCTCTGAGATCAAACACGTGTGTTCTGTCTGCAGTCCAGGGCCGCGGTCTCCGTGCTCATCCACACAGCCTCTTGGTACAAGGCCAAGGAGTTGGACTTGATTCTCTTCACTCTGTGGCAATGACCGAGGGTCTAAAACAGTGTCCATAACAGCCTCTGGAAAGCTGACTTTGGTAACGGTGATAAGTGACCGGTGCCATTGTCCTCAGTGTACAAATCAGCAGACACCAGGGAAGAGTAGGGGTGTGCACACAGGAGTGCCATCCCACCGCCTCCAGTCCCCCAGTGTCCCACCCTGAGACCCCTGGGCTTGCGGTGCCCTCTGCCTGGAACCCCTTTTCTCCAAGATGCTCTCTGTCCGACAGAGCTTTCTGCAGTGCTGGAAATGGCCTATTTGTGTTTTTGCAGCCATTGGCTGCACGTGGCTACTGAGTGCTAGCCATGTGGCTGGTGTGACTGCAGAATGAATTTTTAACTTTAGTTAATTTTAATTCCTATAAATTTGGATGGCAGCACATGGCTATTGCCTATATGGAACAGCACAGTTCAGTTCTAGAAATCGTGTCTCTTAGTCAACTCCTTCAGTTTGAAAATTCAGATGTCACCATTGCAGGGAGGCCTTCCATGACCCTGTGATTTAAGATTGCAGGCTGGGGGCCAGCACTGTGGCATAGCGGGTAAAGGTGCCACCTGCAGTGCCAGCATCCCATGCGGGCACTGGTTTGAGTCCTGGTTGCTCCACTTCCGATTCAGCTCTCTGCTAATGGCCTGGGAAAGCAGTAGAAGATGGCCCAAGTTGTTGGGCCCCTGAACCCACATGGGAGACCTGGAAGAAGCTCTTGGCTCCTGGCTTCAAATCAGCCCAGCTCTGGCCGTTGCGGTCATTTGGGGAGTGAACCAATGGAATGGAAGACCCCTCTCTCTCTCTCTCTCTCTCTCTCTGCCTCTGCCTCTGCCTCTCTGTAACTCTGCCTTTCAAATAAATAAATGGTTGGCATTGTGGTGCTTGGCATCCCACATCAGAGCACTGGTTTGAGTCCTGGCTGCTCTGCTTCTGCTCCAGCTCCCTGCAAACGAGCCTAGGAAAGCAACAAAAGATGGCTCAAGTACTTGGATCCCTGTCACCCACATGGGAGACTCAGATGGAGTTCCAGGCTCCTCACTCCAGCCTGGCCCAGCTGGGGCTATTGTGGCCATTGGGAACCACTGGATAGAAGATCTCTCTCTTTCTCTTCTCTCTCTTTTTGAAACTCTGCCTTTCAAATAAATGACTCTTTAAATACACACACACACAAATAAAACTCAGCCCCTTCCACCTATTCCTCTCCTTGTCCCGTTCCCAGCCCTCCTCAGAACTTTCTGTATATCTCCCTTATTTACCTATTGTCTGTCTCTCTACACCTAAAACATGCATTCCATAAGGGAAGACATTTTTTTCCTCTTGTTAAGTTTGCCCCACCTATTAGTTGGATAATTGAATTCTTCCATGTCTGAGAACTTGGTTTTTCAGCCAGAGCTTAATCTGGATTTTTCTGTGAAATCTCCTGAGTTTGCAATATTGAAAACTTAAAAATGGAAACCCTGTATGTGCAAACATTATGCAGAGAAACAAGATCCCTGGCCAGAGCTGGCATTTTCTTAGGACAAACACCCCATAGGACAAGCACTAAAGTCTGTGGACATACATGCGGTAGGGAGACTGCAGCCGTGGGAGCAGGTGGCTAGCTCTGGCTGTGAACTAGCTACCCAGGAGTGTGGCAGTGGAGATAGCAGCAGGGTGCCAGATGTGAGCCCATACAAATGAAGGCGCCCCACCAGGCCTTGGAGTTATCAGGGAAGGAAACAGCTTCAGGGGGTGGTGCAGACAAACATGGCCATGACAGCACATCTGATGCCCCAACCTCTTCTGCTGTCATCTTGCTACTCTCCCGTCAAGACTCGGGGTTCATTTCTGCAACCCCCTGTTCCGATCCAAACAGGTCTCCTCATTGTGAATAGAACACACACAGATGACTTCACCGGTTCTGCAAATAACTCTTAACTGGCCTGGAAGCTTCTACTTCCTGCTTTCTTAGAATACCTGCTCTTGGGATGTGCCAAGAGAAACCTGACCTCTTTGCTCTGAGAAGCCCAGGCCACGTGGTGCTAGTGGGGGGGGGGGTGGACACTGGCCAGTGAGCATCAACTGATGGCCGTGTTGGACACCTTGTCCCACCGAGCCTTCAGATCACACTGCTGGGTTAGC